AGAGAGAGAGAGAGAGAGAGAGAGAGAGAGAGAGAGAGAGAGAGAGAGAGAGGGATGATAGATCATCTGTACATACCTCAAAAGCATACAGGAAGTCTTCCAACGTTATGTTTCCAGAGGGGACCAACCCAAATCCTTTGGCAGGAGAGTGATTATGGGGGAACTTTCTGCCACACTCAACTTCCCTGTCACCATTGCCGTCTTCTGCTGTCGGCCGGCTGCAAAGTCGCTTGGTGCCACGATCATTTACCATAACAGCACCTGCCACCTTCACCGCCCTTGCTGATTGATTGAGGATAAACACTTCCCTCTTGTCTTTCATTATTTCGGCCACTGTTCTCTTCCTGCCACAAGCTTCAGGTTTTGATTCAACCTCCCCAGTTTTGTCCACCAATGTAGGGTAGGTATCATTCCCAGTCATCATTGGCATCGTATAGTCATCGAAACGTTCTGAAACGCCACCTTCCCATTCACACACACCTTTATGTGACCTTCGACCCGTCCTCATGGGCATTGTATAGTCATCGAAATGTTCAGAAACCCCAGTGTCCCATTCACATACACCCTTACCTGGTCTTTGGCCATAGTATCCACCACCAAGATGACAGTTCTGTGGTGCTGCCAGATCATTGCCGCCACTACGACACATTACTTTGGCCAATGAGCTGGAGACCTCACCCATAGTACGGTCCACGTGACGATAGTTCGCTGCACCAAGAGTGGTTTCGGTAATGTCAAATCCATCTCCATGGAGATTCTCACCGACGGACGCAGTCATAGTTTTCCCAAAAAAAACGGTTGCACCCAATGTTCGCTGCAGCGGATGCATCTGGACACTTTCATCAGCATATACATCAGCTTCCTGCTCTGCACCGCTCGGGCTCTGGCAATCGTCCACCCATGAAGGCCTCACTGATGGCTTCTGTAATTTACAGAAAAAAAAAATCATGTGGGGGCAATGACAGTCAGCAGCAATGCCAAGGTACAGTTCCCATACCATTGCTGCAGAGAGCAGAGTCAAGTTGAAGGATCCGGGATTTTGGATGGGGTTTGGGGTTTAGGGTTTGGATTTTAGGGTCCAGGTTTAAGGGTTTAGAGCAGACTCAAATAGACTTGAGAGAAGTTGAGACAGATTAAGAAATGCGCCATGATTTCACATGGTGTGGCATTCACGGGCCTCCCACAACGGCCCTTTGAGGAGGGGGGGAAGGCCTAGATTCTTCAACCCTAGGACTGCACAACCTACGTTCTCGGCAGCCTTACAGCTTCAGTCCAGTTTCTAGGCCTTGGTTTCATTTCCTTTTAAAGGCAGTGTGTGCTGTTTTTGTCCTTTCTGTCATTTTCATAAGGCTTGGTTTGCTCCTCGGATTGTCAGTCTCTCAACCCTGTCCCAATTTTTTTGGTCTGGAACAGTGTTCATAGGTTGGTCCAGTTTTCAGCCCTACGAAGAGTCTTGCAACTGGTGGTGTTTCTTGTTTTCAGTACCTAGGTCCAGTTTCATCCGGTCCGCTAGGAGCAATGTTGGACCTGATGATGCAGCCTGGTGGTCTGGACATCCTGTTGGGACCAAGGCCACTCATTTCTGCTCCTGGCCCTAGACGAGGACATTGGGCCTCCATCCTGGACCATTCGACCCAGCTGGGCCAAGATGGTAACCAGATACTTGAGGGAGAGGCTCAGCGGTACATAGCTGGGATCGGCAGCAACAGAGAAAAAGCCAAGTGATAGAAGGTGGTGATGGGTTTGGGCAGGCACTCAAATCGCGACATCAACGGATCCGACCAACAGAAAGTGAGCAATTCAAGACGAAACTGAAAACTGGGCAGTGAACATCAACAACTTTATCGACTCACTGTTGTTCATCATACCAAACATTGAAGAAAAGCATTTCAGCTTTCAAGAGAACTATGAATCTAGGCATGAAGCCGGGGTGGTATAGGGGGTAGTGGGGGGGTAAATGAGGGTGTTGGGGGAGGAATGGGCACGTATAGGGGTATCGGGGGCCCATATGCGGGTGCTAGTGGCGTTATTAGGGGTTCTGGACACCCCCAAAAAAAATAATTAAAAACCAAAATTTTGGGGTGCCGACGGCTCCCAGCCGGTAGGTGCCGACTGGTCAGCTGGTCAGAAGCCGACCAGTCAAGGGCCGCCGACCACCGGGGTATGCAACACTGGCGATCAGCAAATAAACAATGTGCACAAAGAAAAGAAACAATACAGCGCAACTAGATGACCTGTTGCAGCTTCGCTCACAAAAACCAATATAATGGGTGATGCATTCATGGCGTACGCAACTGCCCAATTCTCTCTCTCTCTCTCTCTCTCTCTCTCTCTCTCTCTCTCTCTCTCTC